TTCCATCAGAAGAGATCAGATCAAACTGTTACCCTCCTCTGGCCCTGACACTGGCATGTTGACAGTCTGTCCCATCTGGGTGTCTGGCACAGTCAGGGCAGGGGCCTGCAGGGGTCCTGAGGTCACTGTAACCAGCTGCACCTCCACCCCTGGGGACTCCTGACACCAACAGTGACAACACTACTCCAACAAATTTCCTTTCAACATGGATGCCATTTTTGCTGCTTCACTCTGGAAAGCTGTCTGACGCTAACATGTAAAAAAGGACATCAAGGGGAAAGTAGAGTCCAGACCAGCACCTTGGGATACTGTGGCCACAGGCCTCTGGGACATTAATACCACCAAAAGTGCGAAGTGCATCTGAGCAGACTCGGAGTCCGACAGCTATGCACTTCCATGCATCCAATAACAGAGCAAGGAGTAACTGTTTAAGTGTGAGTCTGTGTAAGTGGTGGTCAAAAAACACAAGTGACAAAGACTGTCATATTTCAGTCTACATTTTTACACTGAGGATGAAAATATACAACAAAAATTCAACATGAAGTGCCATCTTTTTTTCCTTTTTTTTTTTTGTATAAAAAACGCATCACTGCTGTACTGAAGTGACAACTGAAGGACATAGATGAGAAACACACAACTCCAATCTTTCAAGCACAGTGGTACAGGACAGGAAAGGGAGGGGGATTGAGGATGGCTGTAAAGGACAAACACTGTCTCATCACTGCAGAGCATGATGAAGAGAGAGACATCAGAAAGTGAACAGAGGTGAACCATTTATTCAGGAACTCAAAGCCTAACCAACTTGACAGGACTTCTCTCTATGTGTGCCTTTTGGGCAGTCAAAACTTACCTCTGTGCCCTTCATCACGAAAGGTCTGCCCTATTGGAGCAGAGCAGAATAAAAGGGAAACAGACAGCCCTGCTCAAGTCTCCTTGAGAGCAGCAGCAGCAGCAGCAGCGGAAAGAAGAGGCACAGGGGCTGACAGAAAAACTCTCTCAAGCTCCTTCACTTCCTCCAGTCCCCAGATCGTATCAACAGACAAAAGGCTCTCTGGCTCCACAAGAAAGCTTCAAAAAAGCTCTTCGCCTGGACACCCAGAACAAGCCCCCTTCTACTACCCCTCCCCCCTTCTCTCCTCCAAACTCCCTTTACACATCGCCCCGTCTCCTTCAGCAGACCCCCAGCGTCCACCTCCTGCATAAGCATAAAGCCCCCGTCTCTGATGTTTCTCTTCTGACCAAGTCCCCTCTGCTCGTTGACTTTCTCTCTCCTTTTTTACTCTCCCTCTCTAGCCAGCGACCCATACATTTGTCTTTAAGCGGACCCCTGTGCTGGTGCAGAGAGGAAAGTGAGAAGGAAAGGAAAGCCAGCACAACAGCAGGCAAACAGTACAGCGGCACTCCCGACTCAGGCAAAAATCTCTAGCCTCCTTCCCCTTTAACATTCAAGAGTAATCAATCTAGCATGATACATGATACTCAAACTCCACCTTACACCCGCCTCCCACCTCACTCTAACGATTCCAACCAATGAGAAGACCGGGTCCTCCTATGCCACTGGACGAAGAACACACCAATCAGCACTGACACGCTCTCCTGCCCCTCCCCTCTCGTATGCCCAACCCCCTTTTACTGACAGCCAACTTCCTGCTCTAAGTTACCTTGAGCTGCAGGATAGGGGTCAGGGAAAAGAAAAGAGGAAGAGAGAGTATAGAGGAGAAACAAAAAGAGAAAGAGCTAACAGAGTTATTGAAAGCTCTTCAGAGAGTGAATGAGGGTGTGCTCATGGTGGCTTTCCTTGGCATTGTTTGTCCTCAAGTGGTCCACTGCCTCTTCTGCTGGTGGACGAATGAGAAAGGTTCCATAGGCTGCTCTCTAACAACTGTTCTCTGCTTATTTACAATGTCAAACTAAATGCCTCCCTCTGCCCCGCCTCCTCTCTGCTGCTACAGGCCGACAGCACAGTGATGCAGGTAGCCAGACTGGACCTCACTGGCTAAGAGAAGTGCCAGAATAGATCCTGCATGTTGCATACACACGATCTTAAGTCAAAAAGCATACTAGGCAGACTTGCTGTCTCATGTGTGTGCACAGCCATACATGCACATCCAGACTCACCGACACATTTTGTCCTTGCTTTCTCATTAATCCTTGCTCACAGTTACATGTACACACTGCAAACATCTAGCCTCTAACTTGTTATAATGAGATTCATTGTACTCTGAATTACTTTAAGACTTTATTCAACATGACTAACAGCAACATTTAAAAATTACTGCAACCACAATAATAATCCAGTAAAACCTGTTATGGTGTCAATCAAATTTACAGAAAAACAGATCAGGGCGGCTGTGGCTCAGGAGGTAGCACGGGTCATCTCCCAACCAGAGGATTAGCAGTTTGACTCCCGGCTTGTCCAGTCAACATGTCAAAGTGTCCTTGAGCAATACACTGAACCCTCAGTTGCTCCCGGTGATGACGCTGGTGAGTGAATGGGTAAATGACCAAGTAGTGTGAAAGTGCCTTAAGTGCTTTAAAGCATAGAAAAGTGCTATATAAACATAAGACTATTTACCATCATTACAGACCATTTGCATAAAATGACGAATTCACTGACTGGTGGGCAGGCAGGGAATAGAGGGGAAAAAAGTGCATTTGATTTTTATTCTGTTTGTGGATAAACAAGACTTTGGAGATATGGCTGAAAGTCTGTAAACAAAGACATTGTTGTCTTGACCTACAAAAACTTTGCTCACAGCAACTTCCAAAATTACACCGTCATCAAAAACCACATCACAAATGTCATATAATGGCCTTCTTTTTAACCCGCCACTGGTTTAACGGGCATTAACATCTACACAATAACCTTTACTTTGGAACAGCAGGTCAGCAGGACATTACTGCTCACGTGCAACACTCATGCTGTGTAATGCATCAACAACTACATCTGTAATTTCACATCAGATACACATAAAGCTTTGGTGAAAATGTTGGTGTGATGATAACGAAAGTTTGGTTAGAGTACATTTTAACTTTTGGAAAGCATGGTGTTGTGACCTGAAGCTTTGTGCTGCATATTACTGCAAATCTTGACTATGGTGAAGAACACAACAAGCGTAAGAGAGAGAAAGTGAGCAAACCTGCCCCTTCAATGAAAGACCTAGAGGGGGAGGGGAACTGGAAGGATGGAGAAGGACAGACAGGAGAGTTGTTACAGGAGGGAGGGGAAGAACAAATGGAGAGAGGGCAAGAGAACATGATAAAGATACTCAAGAGAAACAAAGCTAAATGCCCTGTTTTCTATTTTAGTAAGGACCTTGGGGACTAGAGCAGGTACTACAGCCACCCATTTAATGATTAGAAGAGCTGCACAAAGATTAATTTCTCTGGCATGACTACTACGCCTCAACGCTTTCCTGTGTACGGACATTCTGCCTACCCAAAATGCCTCAATAATGACACCTGGCAAGGTCACTCTACAGATGAGGCCTTCCCATGACCTGTGCAGCCTATAGCAGGAACACATTTCATCTCAGTTGATGATGTTTAGAGGTAAACATACTGATAGCCAGGCCAAGCCATGCAATCATCCATGAACATGCAAAAATATATGCACACCTGCATAAACAAATGTTTAGCTGACTGTCTTGTCCTCTAAGGTATGGCCAACCCACATCCAGTCATTCAAATATCATGCAATTGCTGGATTAAATATGCACAAAGAATAAGGAATAGCACAAAGCATTAACATACCTCTGCTGGATTATGAAGTAAATTAAAAAGTAGGAAAGGCTCCAAGACCATGAACTGTACAGTGCCCCCCCCACCCCATCCCAGTGCTTATGATAAAAAAAAGACATTCCAAAACACCTTTGAAACTCTTATGACTGGGATACATAGAAATATGGAATTGCTTTCTAGAAATCATGAAAATTAAAAAAAAAAAAAAAGCGAATTATACATAAGCACAGGCACTTTCTTCCGGGTGTTCCCCATCGTTTGTCCGATCATTGATTAAATATACAACTGAAAATTAATGTTGAGTGACTTTGCTGTTTTGATATTGCGAGCGAATTTAAGCCCGTCCCTTAATTATTTTAACGTTGTATGGTATGCACATTAACTTTGGCAATTGCTTACATTTGTCTGAGTATGTTAATATGAAAACGGACGTATAGCATCCAAAGCAATAATGAGAATAGGGCAACTCTGCTCATTATATATTAGCTTCGAAGGTCGCTACAAAGTGGATAACAGAAGACATTCAGCTTAATACCTCAACCCAGTACTGCAGACGGAAGTCGAATATAATTATCAGTGAGGCTAATGTCGCTAAAATAAAGTACGATAATAAAATGTAATGTAATGTGCTTAACTGTAAAATAATGAGTGCTTCGTGACAACGACCTTAAACAAACATTTAGCACTGTAGCAAAGCGGGACTCCGTGCTAACGTTGGTGAAGTTTACGTTAATGTTAGCTTGCTGGAAGTGCACGCCAGTGACAATCCGTAGTGGTGTAATTTTAATCACCATTGGAAAACGAGTCTTGCATCAAATGAAAGTTTGCCAAGCTTTCCAAAGCTAGGAAGAAGCAGTCTAACCAATAAAGACAACGTTTGGATCTGTCCTTCAGACCAATCAAACCTCGGACTACATTCCACCAATCAAGGTTTCTACGGCTAAGTTCGTTCTGTAACTGACACCATTCGGGGTCGAGTAAAAATGGCCAGTCCGTCCGACAATTACTTAGACAAGAGCCAACATGGTGGACTCAAGACATCAGCTTCCCGACCGTGCGCGATCCCTTCAGAGGGCCACCAATAAGCGGCTCAGAGAGCGGGGAGGGAAATGGCGCCTATGTTTATCTTCCAAAACAATCATCTATTGGTCAAGAACAGCAAATGAAAAGAAGCAAAGTAATTACCCATACTTTCACCCAACACCGGCTCCTTTCTTGTGAACGTTCTACACACAAATTAATTTTAATTTCTTACTCACTTCTTTTACAGGTTCGAAGTGAAGTCCAGCTCAGCGTATTATTTATTTTATTTAGCTAGCAAGGGAAACAAGATGGCTGCTATTCGAACCGGAAAGATTTGACGCATGAACGCGATGACGTAAGGTTACGTTCTCTTAACGATATGGACCAATGGCGTCAGTGTCGTGCTGTTTTCTTTTTCGCTTTTTCTAACAGCGCGCGCACACACACACGCACGCACGAATAAAATTAAAAAATAATGACATGAAAAACTCAGTACCAAGATGTTTTAATGCTTTAACTTTTACATTGGAACACATTTTTTCCACAACCTCTGCAGTAAACAGCCTACACAACATTTGTTAACGCAATTAAATAATTTCAACCCATTACTTAAACTGAAAAAAAAAAAATCTCTAGCACTATTATCCTTGCCACTGGTGAACTGTAATATGAAGAATTTAAAGACACTGTAGATGTAGTAGACAAGTTTCATTCTTTACATAAACACTTAGACAAACATTATTCCAAAAATCCCCCCCCCCCCCACTAATATCTAAAGCAAATAACCAAAATAGGAAATTTAACACTACATTCAATTTTTTAAACATAGTACATATATTTATTTTACAGAACAGCTAGAACTCATTTCTTTGTCACAAGTTCCAGGAGGGTGGAGGTGATTTTGTTCAGGTTATTGCAGTAGCGGGTGTCCCTGTGAATCCTTGAATCTCGTTCCATATGTAGGGGAGGTGGAGAAGAGTGGGAGTCATAATACTCCTCAGTAGCAGGGTGGTATTCATGAGGGTATGTGGGTTCTTGAAACCTTTCAGGATAGGTAGCTTGTGGTGTCCAAGACATCTCAGGTCTCCCAAAAAACTCTAAAAGAAAAACATCAGGTAAAGAATTTAAAACTGCATTAACCAAGATTTAGTATAAATTTGGATGAATCAAGTAAAAATTGTCTAGACGTATTGTCTCCCTGCTGTACTATACCCCCACCCCCACCTCACCCTACCCTATTATCTTCCGGCCTTGTGCTTATATATCGTCTGTGGCCAGTATTGTTTAAATCTGCACCACAATTCTTCCAATTTCTCTAGTTTCACATACAACTCATGGTTGTGTGTGTCAAGTATGTAACACTGAACATGATGCAATAGTGACTGGAATATTAGTACTCTATCAATCTCACTGGGAAAATAATTCCTCTGTAAAATATGCTTGTGTTACTGTAGATACATCTGCCGTAAACATTAGACGTACGTATGCATATTGCTATAATGTAAACCTCTTTATCTGACATTCTGTCACTGCAATGCCACCAAAAACCACAGGCTTTATGGGTTCTATATTTCATATACATTAGATCTGGAGCCTGTTATTACTGCGGCACTACCTGACTGTTGTCTCCAACTGTTGTGACCACATATGACCTAATTTCAGAGACAGTTTCAGGAGGGACAAGGAGGAGCAGAGGGAGCAGAGGAGGGGATACTGCTTGAGTTTGTTTTGACTCTCACTTCGCCTCTAACAGTCAAAAATTAGAAGGAGAAATTAATTAAATGAAAAATGAAAGAAAGTAGAAAAATGCTAAATCATTTTTGACAGAGGGAACCAGATTTTGTAGTTTACTATACACCATAACATTAAAGGAATAGTTCAAAGTTTTTCAAGCTGATGTTAAAACAATACTGATATATCCCTGCCACTATAACATATCCCTCTGCTGCAGCTCAGCAAGGAACTACTGTCCAGGGAAATAAAACAGTGAAAGTGAAGGGAAGTGAACTGTTGGCCCCCAGATACTACAAAGAATACATCAGATGCTATGATATATGTTTCACAAAACACTTTTATTATAGATTATGTAATCAAACTTGGCCCACAACTAGATCTCAGAAATTAATGAAGTATTTGTAAAACGACCCATTAATGCCTGGTGCAGTATAGAGAAAATCATTTAGGTGAAGTATATTACACAAGTTACCTTCATCCTGACATCTGGGTTCCATGTGCCCAGGGTGGTGGTATCCTTGGAGCATACCCTCATGTTCATGCTGTGCCCAGCCTCTTCCTCTGTGATCTTCTGGTTGTCTAGGGTTTAAATCTTCTCTTGGGTACCTCTCATACTGATGTTGTGGAGACAACTGTGGGACTGGCTTCAAGCTGTTGTAGTCGCTGTTAAGGACTGCTCGATCTTGGCAATTTTGCTACAACAAAAACAGATGCTTCTGTAATTCATTTCTGCTGCTTTGCGGCAGAGAATCAAACTACGTGTTCTGTTAGAAAGGCTGGCCCTCTGCAGGGATACACATACCCCAGTCTTCTCCGACTTTCTGGACTTTAATTCTGAAAGAAGGCTGCAAATTCTGTTCTTCAGGAAGTCAGCCTCTTCTGCATTCTCAATTTCAACGTTTTTCTGGATGATGAAAAAGTGACAGTGAACAAGGCATAGTTAAGACCCCCCCTTTTATGAATTGCTGAATAACACACAACACTGCTATGTGTTGCAAATACAAATTCATTATCTTACCAGCATATCAAAGACACCTTCTGACACAGAGCCCCTTCTCTGGTAGTTCTCAGAGTGATGTGAGCTCTTAAAAAAAAAAAAAAAAAAAAAACGGTACGACAGAGACAATAAATACAGTGAGTGAGTGCATGTTCTGGATTAGTTAGAAATATAAAATATTAGCAGGATACTAGTTAATCACAGCAAATAGACCAATTTAACCTGTGATTCTGTGTACAGGTCAGGATGTTGTGTTCCGTGCATTTCAGGTCTCAATGGCACACCGACTGGTCTAGGATGATCAGCAAACTTCGCATTGGGTGGTCCATATTCATCACTGAACCTTAAAGCAGAAATCAAACACGTCCAGAAAAATACTGGGTGAAGACAGAAATGCAAAGAATTGATCAAACAATATTAAATATTCACATTTCTAAATCTCAGCCAGTTATGTTCACAAAGACATCTTTACAGATTAACAACCAGTAAAATTTTCACTCACATCTCCTTTGTCATTTTCACCTCCTCTGCAGAGGCATCAGAGAAGCGAGTCTTTCTTTTTCTTTTTCCGTGTTCTTCAATGTTAGCAGCCCCTTTCAGGAAGCGCCTGAATGGTTCTGGGATGTCCGACATGGCCCTGCTAAGTTCCACTCGTCTCTGGGAGGCAGGCTGATATGGTTCTTTGACTATGTACCGATCATCTCTGACCGTAGAAAACAAATGGTTGTGCAACCGGTCACTCTCCACAGGTGTGGGAAAGCTCTTCCTGTTGACCTCTGGCTCTCTTGAGCCCTGCCTACCCACTTTACTCATAGTGCCAGATTCCCTCGCCAGAGGCCACTGATGTTCATCTTCTGGGTACATCAGCTGTGAAGGCTGATACTCAGCATAATGATCTCGCCCACGTCTCACTTCCTCAGAGTAGAACTTCTTCGGTGACTCATTTTCAAGTACAGCCTTTCTTTGTAGACTTTCACATTCTTCTTCATAATCCCTGCGGTAAGTATGGTCCATATACTCCTGCCTGTACATAACGCTTACTCTGTAATCTGCCCTCTGCAAGTCCCCTTCCATGTTACCTTGTCTGAGAGTGTCATCCCGCTGGTATATCTGTCTGTCCCTGTTCACATAAGGTTGGGATGGTGGCGTATTTGGGCAACCTGGGGGATGCTTCACTCGGTGAGGGTACTCGTCCTGATAGTCCTGGAATTCCGGCAAGAGTGATGGCACAACTCCTTGGGTCACAGTCTGTGGAATATTTCGGTCTCTATGTTGTTTCCGCCCTGGGGAAACTATGGAACAAGAGTAAACATACAGTTTATGAAAAGCATACGAGTATAACTTAATTTACATATTACCTATAAATATCTCCTTTACAGATGCAGTGGCCCTCAAGCACATGCTCTGTGCAGTGACTGGTTAACTATTCAAATGTAGGTGAAATTATGCCCTTGAGTATTCATATGATTTATAGTAGAATTCATAACTTATGAAAAGTATAACATGTAATATTATCCATATGAGCTGTATTTTAACTGGTCAACTTTGATCTACCACGTTAAATTTCTTAAAAACTTGTAAATACATGTGACAACTTTTGGAGAACTCAAAAGCCAAAGTCTGACAATGGCAGTTGTGGCACTGAAAGAGGTATTTCTGTTTTCATGTATAGGTTTGTTTAAGGTTCAAATTCATGGTGATCATTAGAAAGGCAAGACTGTTAGATATGCTAAATAGCTCACTGCAAATACAGAGCGATATGTGACAAGAGATTCAAGTACATGTTTGACGTCAAATACAAATTGTGTCAACAGTATATGCTTTGTCCACCAGAGAGCACTGACATTTTTTTCCCCCACTGTAAAGCATCAACTTCGGTACATGCATACTGCATACATGTTAACAAAAATGTCATATTGTCAATATCAGGCTATTGTCATTGATAAAACTTTAAAAAATCCTGTAACTTGCATGTTGACTAGAACATTATGTCCAAACATGCTGAGGAATGGTTACCCAATACCATCCTTTAAAATGTTTACTGAAACTCAGACTGGATGGCCCTGACATTTCCATGCCTACATAAACTAGTGAGAACATTTAGCTTACTTAACTTGACTTGACTTTCTTCTTCACCATTAAATCAAAACATAATTTTGTATGTAACCTCACCAAGATCTTATCTAGTATCTATTACTACATATAATTCACAATGAAAACACACCTCTTGAGATGTTTAACTTGCCTTCAACCCCCCTTTTTGATAATGGCTGAAACAAAGAGTAAACACAATAAATGTATATTAGTCTCAAAATAGTTTTATATGATTTAAGAAGTCCATATTATTTAACAATATTAAATATGTCAGGTTACTGAAATCTGTATGTCCTACTTTTGGGTATCCTCGTCCATCCTGTCTTTCAATTATTTCTGCCCTGGCTCGTATGATCTTTCCTCCTTGGGTTAATATGGCTTGTTTATCCCAGGTAACCAAGTCTGGCCGTTTCAATTGCTACAACAATACAAAGGCATGACATTCTCAATTTGTTTCATTTTCTTAATTCCAAAACAAAGCGCACACACGCACACTCAAAGTTCCATGAAAGTTTTCTGAAAATAATCACATATGCCTTACCACATATTTCTGCCGGTGTTTACGTCCAATCACATGATGGACCATTTCTGGTAGGACTGCAGTGTGACGACATAGCCTACATAAGTATCTGAGGCCTGCTTGTGTGTCATTACATGGCAGTTCATCCAAATAGTTCAATCCTAAGAAGAAAAAAAAGCAGAAAAGATTAAGGATCGAATAAACATAAAAAAATAGAAAACTGTTCAAAAAGTTGTATCATGTTACTCACCAATGACTGGCTCATCAATCTTCAGGTAATCCAAATATTGCAAAATGTCCTTAAATTCCGGTACAGTGTGTTGTCTGACTGCATGACCTGTGAAATCCAAACACTGGTAGTTGGCAAAAAACATTAAAACAAAAATAGACTCACAAAGTATTATTTGTACAATGTGATTTAATCTTAAAGCCAAAATAAAGTTTAATTTGCTACACATCGTTTCCAAAATTATTTGAGAAATAAATATGTTTGTTTCAAGTATGAGCACGCCATAGCTGTTTGCTGGTTTAAGCAAACATCAGTCTACTTTGTGTACACTTCTTGTCAGGTAATGCTAGAACATGCTTCTCCCAGCTGCACAATAACAAAGGGTGTCATTTCGAATCACTGTTGTGCCTGTTCCTTTTATAGTGAAAGAAAGTTTTATCCAGCAATCATCTCATCTGATAGGCAGGGATGCACAACATGTTCACATTTGGTGCATGTACCCGACAATTCTCTACATAGAACTACAAAGATGTTTACTTACATCTTTGTTTCTTCTAGGTCCATAGCCAGTAACCAGCTAAGTCAGGATGATTACAGCCAAGTGTTGGTGCACTAACTGATGTCCCAGTACCAAGATGATTGAATGTTTACCCTGGATACAACCATGAAATGCAGCTACAGCGGGTTCTGGTTCAGCCATGTAGGCATGGGCGGGCCTGTGCCTTTTGTACAAGTGCAAGTGATATGAATCATGGTCGAACAACTTGAAAATGAGTCTAAGTGTTTTACCACTGGTACATGGGAGAGAGCCTGTCATCCCCAGATGAGCTCATTTTGAACCACACAACCAGTGACTGACAGGACCATAAAAGATGTTTCCCATGGGACTGGAAAAAGTCAACGTTATGCAAAATTTCTACACAGCAACATCACAGAAGCCCCACACATGTGGGATTATAGCATGATTTACCTACCAAAAACAATGATCACAGTTGCAACGACACGGTGCCTATTCTCCACCGTAATATAAAACAAAAGTCCACTGAAGCCAACATATTGTCTCAACTATTTATTATTTTCATTCCAAAAGAAAGATAACACAAACTGGTCTATGTCATTACTGCATCCCTTAAGACCAAGCCTTGATATAATGGACAGTGAAGCTACCAAGCAGTACATAATTTTACTTAGTGACATAACCGAGTGTTTGGCTGTCCTATGCTTATCTTTGACTCGCATGCAGAAATATGAACTGTACAGTATAATTATGTACAATCCGAAGTTCTGGATTTATACAACTGTTAAGCCATTTAAGCTGCCTGGGGTAAACTGTGCCTGTAAATTGCCTGTGCTGAATAACTGTCCAACATATGCTATATGGCAAGTATGTGGACAACTGATCATTACACTAACGCAAGTTTTGAACAGCTCATTCCCATACAAGAACACTGGAATGAATCTACTGCTATACCAACCTCAACTCTCCCGGGAAGGTTCTATGCAAGATTTTGGAAGCTGACTGCAGGAGTGTCCTCCAACTCAACAAGTGAATTGGTTAAGTTGGGTGCTGATGTTGAGTGATTAAGCCTGGCTCATAGACGGTATTCCCATTCATCCATGACTTGAACTGAGGGGCTTGAGTCAACCCGTGAAAAACAGCCCCAAACAAAAAGAACATCAAAGTATGTTGTAGTATTTACTGGATGTAGTGCCTGTGCTACACTATGTAGTTGTTCATTACCATTTAACATTTCTTCCAACAGGTGACTAATGGCAGCAGTAACCACGACTGGGGACATCTGTGTTGGTGAACTAGGACCTGAGATACTGTGTGCTGTTATAGGCAGCCCTTAATTTGTTGCTGTCCTTGCTCCTGCATGTCCATGAAGATATGCTTAAAATCAGAGGCCGTTCTAGAATTTCCACTTATGTTGTTTTTCTGCTTTCAAAAAAATGTAACATGCATAACACATTTTAGTGATTTTGCAGATCAGCCAAAGCATAGTATACATTTGTATTATCCACCAGCGGCCATAAAGTGAAGCAGCCAGAGCCATCTCTTTAAACAGTTCCATTTGTTTTGTCCTTTTCACTCCTTTGTCCAGATCCTTGTAACCTAGGTTCTCCTGTTGACCAGCATAGAGTGGCACTACCTACCTGGTGATTTCCTAGTTGGTGGAGAGGAAAGGTTAATGAATGTAGTGCCAGCAGATGGCAACCTCCCATGGCTGAAGTATTCCTGACCAGTTGGGAGAGGAAGTTGTACTTGGCCTTCCCAGCCAACAGAGGGTAATGTTTTCCATGAAAGATTCACCCAATCAAAAAAATGTGCCATGACCATTTTATTGTCCTTTGAAAGGATATGGGTGAACTATCAAATAGCAGACTTTTAGCCTATTGTCAGGGGTCAGCCCGCTAACTCTCTGACCATCTGAGCCTGCTCCCAAAGTGAGTTGATCTAAATCATATTGTCTTGAAACCGTGATACAGTTAATCCATACCGTATCATAATCACTGATGGTTCTGAACTGAAAATGCTGTCCATTAATAACAGTCAACAAATTAGAGTGACCTCTGTTACTTTCATGTCTAGATTGAATTACGTGACATAATAGACAGCAAATATACTCTAGGCCAGAATAGAAGAAAATAACAAAGCTGAAGATGGGGTCTACTTACCCATAGTAACAAGGACATCCTCTTTCTGCCAGGAATGAAAGGAGAGCAATAAATCAATAAAATCAAACAGTGGTGGATAAGCAGGATACCATTTAGAGTTCGCCACTGCTACAAACACAGAAATGGTTACATCATGGAGATAAACATTTTTAGCATGTAAATGTTACCAATACCACAGCTCATGTGAGGTGCAGTACAGGTAAATATCCTCATTGGTCTTTGTCCATCTTCAAAAATAAAGTAGGAGGAGAAAAAAAATGCATGTCCACCTGTCAGAAGAAGTTTGCACAGAGTGCAAAAAGATGTAAAAACTATACCTCTGGTGTTCTTCAGTTTGATTCCTCCAGTCAAAAAACTTTTTGAAAAAAATCTGAGGCACTCAAGATGATCGAAAATATAAAAAGCCTATATTACCTCACGGCTGTTCAAATATGGTTAAAATACAGGCCATGTCTACCTGTACTGTATACCCATCCATCCATCCATCCGTCCGTCCGTCCAGTATCTACACCGCTTATTCCTGAATAGGGTCGCGGGGGAACTGGAGCCAATCCCAGCTGACACTGGGCGAGAGGTGGGGTCCACCCTGGACACTTTTCAAAAAAAGTAACTGAACAAATTAAGCCACCTTAGTAGAAGAAAATTAAAGTAACTGTTAAAGAGCAATTTTAATATAAAAATTAATATCTGCATGTAGAGAACTCATATCCAGTTTTCTTCAAGACAACCAAGTGACATGGACTGATGTTCAAGAAGCTTTCTATCTCCAAAACGACCCTGCTGGATTCAACTATCTGTGTATGGTCAAGAATTTCATCTTCAAAACACAGAAAAATCTGTTTCCATAGAAGAAGATGCTTCCAAATGAAATGAGTTTTACTCACGCAAGACAAAGTCCTTGTAATTTTGACATGAAGATTATCTCTACAATTCAAGTTTACTATCTGATGTGCACACAGCTACAGAGCATCTATAATGCTCAGTTTGTCAAACTATTGACAGCGTTTACTTATTGTCTTCCAGCAGTAGAGTGTGAAAACAGAGCATGAAGCCACGAACACGAATCTTCAGTCTCTTGTGAGTGGTTTTCTCACAAAACATAACAGCCATCATAGTCAAGAACACTGCAATATGTAAATGCGATTGACCCTGAACTGTTGCAGTCTTTGGCCAGACTCCCAGAAATCTCACAAGAACCTCTGCTGGCAAATTTCCAGAAGGTGATGGAAAAGTTCTATTCATATAAAGCAGAAATTTAAAAATGCCAGAAAGTGTATACATTAAAGTGGATATGGGAGAGTGGTTCAAGGATATCCACCATATGAAACAAACCACTAAAAGGACCTGCCAGCAAAGAGGCTCTCTTGCCAAATGCATAACGACTATGGTCACTTGATCAGATGACTGGAATCCATCGAAGTTTTATTCCCGTAATCTTGTAAAAAGTATTCAGAATTTATCACTGTCAAGTGCAAAAACCAACAACAGTGGATGCATATCAGAAAGAATGATAGACTTAAGCTTTGATGTTGTTGCCGTGAGTGTCAATACATGACTGAAGATTAGACTTGACCCAGATAATGCAAGTTCAGCTATAGATCATAGCCTCCAGAAAACAAAGCAAGCTTTAGAAATGAAAGGACTACTTTTGATGCACACCAACTTTTTCAAAAACACAAAACTTGCTGTTTCAAGCATCTAGTCCATCACAACTATGCATATATGAGGATTAAGACATGACGAGGAGAAGGTAGATCATCTGATCTAAATGTGTTGAATATTGCCTTCTCGTGCACCATAAACTTACTGCATGGTGCACTCTTCAAAGGCACAGTGCTCCTCCAGAATAACCAGGAAACAGTCTTCATGATGGTCAAAGACAAAGTTCAGTAAGCAGCATTCATTTTGTCTGCTTGTCCCCCCTATGGACAGACACAGACAGGACACTGGACCTCTGCAGACACACACCCATGCTCACACCTCTTCCTAAAGACTGAGATTTGCACTGAGCTGCACCTCATGTTACTACACTCTTGCTGCTAACATGCTGCTGACCTGATTAGGTCCCATACATCCCTTTTTATTTGTTCATATTTTTATATTGACATACAATTGTGTGTTATGTAAATAATGTGTCTTTTAAGCTGAGAGCTGCCAGAAAAAATTTCGTTGTGCTATGCATAATGACAATAAAGATTCTTGACTCTTGTTGTTGCTAAAGTGACTTACCACTTAACAGCTATTCAATTACGGTAGCAACGATGCAAAACTTAAGAAAATATTGACAAAATGTTAATGTGCACAGAACCTAAGCTTCAAGTCTGGCTGCTGTCGTCACTGAACTAGTACTTACTGTACCACCAATTTATTTTTCTTTGACCTAACAAAATTGCATTTGTCCTGTAGGACAGATGTACGGTCACAGGATATAAGCACAGGCAATCCATCAGATGTTGCTAAAGTGTCTGAACGATTAATCATTGTTGCTTGGCTTGAATTTCACCTTGAACCTGTAAAAAATTGTCATCAAGTCAAATTAAAAACATCAGTCACTAACTATCAGTGTATTTGTAGGTATTTAGGTTGGTTAGCATTCAACACCTTTGTGGAATTATTGTGTTGTGTACCTTTATATGCCCTGGTGTAGTCAGGTGTATCTTGTACAAGGTTTCGCCCCTTATAGATTTATCACAGACCTGGAGTAAAACAGAAAATTTTAACCAAAGAGTATCATAGCATACACCTAGTACTAACGTTAGTAATCAACACCATAAACGCAGCAGCAAGAAAACCAATTAAGACAAAGCAACAAAAATTTGTAACTTTCCAACCTTGAGAAAGGGTTTTATTTTAACTCTGCAGTACTGCATGTTAGCTAGACTAACGTTAGCTAACTTACCTTATCAACGTGCAACTGAATGTACTCAAAAAACTCGTGAAAACCACGCTGCATTTTCTTATTAAACCTAAAAATTACTGACGTCGTTACGTGTAATGTCATCTAATGTTGGCTAGCTTACCTTGCATTCAATAAATTCCGCCTCATCGTCGTATGGCGTTTCGATATTCTCCATTGTTGATGTTTTACGCCTCGCTAACAACGCTGCCTTCTCTTTGTAGCTTAGCTAATAAACCGTCGGCTAACTAGCAAACGTAATCAAGCTATAGCTGGGTATTACGTTAATACCCAAGTTTACACTGACAACACCTCTGTAAACGTGGCTGTTAACTAGCAATTCATTAAGTAATATCCAGTTAATGGATATGTGTGATTTATATTTTGACCACTAGCCTTCTCCTAGTCACTCTCATACAAGCGACGCAACTGGAAAAGCCTGACTTCCTGTGATTGTGCAATTAGCCCTAGAAAGCCCACGCGAGCAAGATCCTCTTAGCGCCGTGCTACCATCGTAAAAAAATAATAATAATAATAATGACGTATACAAAACTAGCGTGTAGATTTACGACCTCCGTCTGCCAGAATGACAACTGAAATCATACTGCAATAGTTTTGTTATTCCGTTTATTTGATTCTAAGAATTTGTTTCATATTTACAAAATTTAAGCTTGGCTATTGAAACTAGGACACTTCTCAAGTTGTGTGAGGCATCCGCACAGCTTTCATTATAGGCTGGAGTTTAAAACCATGAAGCGGTTTAATACAGTAAACAAGACAAAAGATTCCTGCACACATTATTTCAGTACCATGTAGGTATGGACAACTACAAACACGTACAGAAATACCTCATAATTTGTGTGACTAACCATTTCACTAGCCATATTGACATAGAGACAAGTCATAATACATGTATTAACCCCATCATATTTACATGCAATAGTGAATATGTACACTGACCAATGGTTTACATACCTCTCACAAGAGAGGTAAATGATAATTACATACGTTGGCCTTTACTACTGAGCTTCAGAATGTGCTTTCTGAATTATTTCACAAGTATTCCATTTTCTTCAGAGACCATTACCACACTGCATAAATACAACCTCAGTCTGGACAACTGCTGCAATGATCTCTAACCAAGAGCTAGACCGATGCATTTATAAGAAAAAAAGAGTAAAAGAAAGTTAAGACAACAATTCAAAATACAGAAATTATAATGAATGATCACACTAAAGGAATATTATACTCTGATGCATTATCTTAAATCACTATACATCCAAAAATATCACACCAGCATCATCCACTTTAAAGCTGTAAATGATAGATGGGCAGGTGCCAAAGCATAAGAGGCCTGTGCCTGAAAATTATAAATGTCAATGTGCAGTGTAATGATAACATACAACACAATATGAGCTCACAGACAGGAAAAGAACACATTTCTGTTAATAAAAGCCATGTGGCTAAAAAAATCCCTTGACGACAGAATGAGAACAGGTCACCTTAATGAGACATACAGGTGTTTTTCGAGGTCAAGAACAGAAGACCATGGCAATGTTACTGATCAAATATCTAAGAAACTGGCTGAGATGTTTCATTAGCAGGAGGTCCAGGAACTGTATGTGGTGAGGAGGTGAAACTTCAGTTTGCAGAATTGTAGAGTCCTCCTGGTAGATTGTTCAGACGCGAACGCAGCTCCTTCCGGACCTGAGTCACCCTCGCCAGTTTGTGTTTGTATTCCTAAAAAGGTCCACAGCAAAAAAGATCAATCAGAGATACAAAAATCTAAATGACTGGCATTGTCTTCTTTTTTTTCCACGGCAATACATTAGAATCACAATTTATGGGAAGGAAAGCCTTTTAAGTAAAGCGAGTGACATCATGTAATTATAAATAAATCTACATCAAAGACCACATAAAAATGAGAGCAAGGTACCTACCATGGTACTTTTGTATTGCATTTTACATTACAGAGTGTAATGTTAAAAGTCTAAATAGGTTAAAAGTACAAGTTTAGATTTGTGGCAAAAGATTTCAACCAAACATTTTGTCCACTACCAGTCTCCTTAGAAAACAACATCATGGAAACGTTAAAGGGTTGTGAGAGCTTCTAGCAAGTTGAACTGTTGTCTTCAAAACCATTGAATGTATGAGCTTTTAAAGAATGTATATCACTATATTTGCCTCAGATTCATGACTAACTTGCTACAGGGTTTACCATTTACCTTTCAATTGCTTTTAAGAATATACAAAACTTAGCAAGTGGCGCATTGAAAGGTTTTTAACATCTTTATCAACAACAAAACAGAAAGGAAGGTATTATATATAAAGGCCCCATGTATGAAAGAGCTAAAACAGTCAGCAAAGGAGGACTTACCAAAGGATTTCACCTAATTCATATATATGCACTAACTTATACTCTTACACCAACATAAAGTCTCACTCAAATGTTTTCTCTCTGCTCGAGGTCAGTGCATTTGTTACAAGATGTGTTCACTGTATAAGATTACTGAACAGCCGAGGTAAGTATGTGTGTGCGTGCAAACAGAACATATTTTTCTCAGGCAAAAGGAGACTTCAGAGTGCACAAACTTCCAAATGAGTAACATTTGTCATTTAATATCACAGTGTCATAACTCTTTAACACCAGTAATAATCATATATATATATATCAAGATTCGTGAAATCTGTCTCTTTTCTTAGTTTTGGTTTGACCTGTCATAGGTCTGTAGCTAGAATTTACTTTATAAATACCACTTTAAAAAAACTGGCCAATACTTATTATCCACCTTTGAAATGTGTACAATACATACACTACACTAGGCTGCTGCAAGTGTTAGAGCAAAATAAAAGAACTCACAAAATGATTTTAACTTTTTATTTTCAGTTTTTATTACAAAAGAATTGACTGAGTTAAAGTACAAATATGAAATACTTTATCCTCTTGGTATCCTGTGAATAAAGGCTGGACAGTTATTGTCACCACAAAGCAGTATGGCTATGAGGAAACAAAATCTGTAGTGATGTTTTGCAAGATCAATATGTTGGTTGATACTTACCTTGTGGGAAGTACACGCTGAGTGAACTAAGTTAAAAGAACAAGCATTTCCCAGTGACAAAGGAACACCTCACTTGGATGTCAACTGCGTAATTAGGAGTCTCTCCTTTGTTTGTAATGCCAGCGAGTCTAACACTAATTAACTAACTAACTAACTAACACTAATAACCTAACACTAACTAACTAACTAACTAACTAACTAACACTAATAATCTGTAAGTCAGGCTGAATAACAAATACAGGCCCTCTGCATAAGTATGCAGCAGGCTGAAATGCATGAAGAGAAATGTTACTTCAAAATGTAGACAACCAGGAAGTGTGAGCACACAGCTACATAGGGTACATCCCAAGTCTCTCATAGGATCGCTCCTCGCTCAACCTGGAAGCTGTTCCAGTCGAGCAAGGACATCCCCCATGTACTCTAAGGAACAAGGAGGCTGCTGGAGGAACCATGAGCGAGGATACAAGACAGCATCCTTTATGGAAGTCTTACAGACAGACATGCCCCTTTATTGGAAATCAGTTGGTGATTGAATGCTACAGATAAACAATCAGAGAAAAAGACATCTTCTGTCTCTAAAAACATGTTTCCTCGATTCCTCTTTCCTTACATTTTTGTCTTTTATCGTATCCTCTCATCTTATTTAGGAGAGGATTAAGACACGAAAGAAGACAAGTGAGGGAAATGCATATAAGAGACCTGGTTTGTAACCATAGATATAGAAACACCATGAATGAATAATCACCAAAAGACACAACAGAAGCAACTTGAAAGAAAGAATGATTTACGCACTTCAAGTTTCTGCTCATTCTGGGCCAGACCGTCCTTCTGGCTTTGCAGGAAGACTGTTAGTGTGCGTGTTAGCTGCCTCCTATCGTCAATCTCTGCCGCCAAGCGGCCACTGTAGTCTGCTAGCAGCATACAGGCCTCCTCCACCAGCCGGGAAAGCCGCTCTCCTGATTCTTTGTCTAAATCACACAAAGAACAGGGGACCATTTTGTTTGTCTTGTCCACAGGATTCCTTTCTCTCCTATAGTAATAGCACTGCAGAAAACACTACTCTTATAGTTAAATTAATATAAGATTAAGTACACATTTGTTTGTCCTACAGAGTTAGTTTGAGTGAGGATGGGGAATGAATGAGGACTTGTATAGATGTGGGAATAAATGTTCAGTAAATTAATGTTCCACCATATTCTGTTGTTAGTCTCTGGAAAACAGATTAGTTGAATGGTATGCAGGCCGTGCAGATATTTGTCTCTCTACTCAGCACCTCACCCTGTTTCCCATGAAGTACTTGAGTAACAAATAAATACATGTGTTAATGTGCTGTGAATGTACTTGTATGCATTTACCAACAGCGCACAGTGGGCTGTGTCCTGCCTTCTACCTGTGATCCTATGAAGCAGTGACGTGTCTGGAAGAGAGGAGATACGCTGACGCAGCATTAAGTCGCCAGAAGCTGCATTCTCCAGCTCCTGCAGAGCTCGGATTAACTCTGCTGTCTGAGGCAGCAGGGAGGAGGACAAGCAGGAGAGGGAGACAAGAGAAATAAAAGAAGTAAATCAGTAGTTCTGTATGTGTCAATTATGAACAGCATTGGAAGCAGCAGAGAAATGAAGTATTAAGCTACAAATCTAAGCAGAAGCAGAGCAGCTGTATCTACTGTAAATAGTATCATTAAATGACCTCTTTGTGGTTAAAGGTATTGCCACATTAACATCCTCTGTTTATGGCTACATTGTCTGGCATGGCACCTGTGGGGGCTCAGCTGGGGAGCTCTGGGAAGCAAAGTCCACATCATCTGGTTGGATCTCCTCATATGACCTCTTTTTAGCCTTCTTTTCACCAGCTAGGATTTACAATGAAAGAGCACAACATAAAAACATTACATAGCACACAACTGCTCATATGGTCTACATTTTATGTAAAAAAAAAAAAAAAAAAATACAGTGCAGCTGAACAACTTCACAGTCCCCGCCACAAAGCTAACTAACTATGAAGCATATTTATTGAAACATTTATGATCCAAATTCATCCTGTTCTGCACTTGTAACTGGTGAGGCTTCAACTTGCAGACTGGCACTGCAAGCAGTCACCTTAGCTTACTGTTGTAAAGACTACACAAGCATTGTTGAATGGTGAGGAATAGTTATGAGCCTATAAAGAAACAAGTTGGTGTTGTGTGAACTTACATAGAACTTGTGAGAGCTGATCCAGCAGGTTGTTCTCGTATACTGCTCTCTCCTGCCAGATGGACAAAACCCGACCCAACTGTTTCTTACAGCCCTCCTCGCCCTCTCTGAACAGGAAGCAATACAGAACAGGAACATACATTTTAAACAGCTTAGTGAAACTCAGCTTATGTTATGTGATGTAAACAAAAGTGTTTGAACAGCCCTTTCAGTATCAATATACATATCAAGTTTTGTTTATGTTTGACAAAATCTCAATGCCATGAGTTAGACTAGATGACAGCCACTAAACAGTAAACAAAACTGAAAACATGACTCTATAATTCATTTTTACGTGTCTAACCTGTATACATGTTTGAAAGCATCAACGATGACCGGTGCAAAGTCCTGGGTGAATTCTGGTCCTTTCCTCTTGCTGTTCTGAATGACATCATTGGCCAGGTAAAGGAAGGTCAGCTTGCGTGATACCTGAGCTGCATGCATTCAAATGTACACATAATACATATTGCAGTGAGAGATTTGGTTACGATATATAGGACTGAACCTTAGGCTGTGCAGCACAGTGATACGTTTCACAGCACAAATGTCATGTCTTAACCATTAGAGAAATGATAAGGATTATCAAACTGTAAATGTAATATGTTTTCCCACTAAGGCCAAACCATGACATTCTTCTGTGCAAGACCACAATTCATCTCACAGCATTCAGCCACAACTAAGAACAAAATCAATCCATCAAGTCATGTATAAACAGTTCCTGTGGTTACTTTATAACCTTGTTCATGCAATTAGCCTCGACTGAAAATAACAGATACAACCACAGTGAGGTTGGACCTTGGGTGTCATATTTTCAGTGTAGTTAAATGTGTTTAATTTTTTATTATGGAAAAGATCAAATATGGTATTGACTATGAGTGTAGTCCGTTTTGTTGCATACTGTGTATATACAGTATGTGCACATATTCCCAACAGACTTACAACAACAAAACATCTTAGTTGTTTTTGGACAGGTCACAGTCAACACTGAGATAAGCATAAAGCTCCAGAGACATATGCCAATTCTATCCCCACTGCTATTAACACTGCACAGTCCTTTCGGTCCCCAGACAAGCTCCAAAAATAAAACATCCACTTGAGATATCATAAGGTTGTTGACTAGCACCCAAGGGAAAAGTGGCCTAGTAGTAGCTACTGTACCACTGCAGCAGTTAATGACATCCATACAACACGCTTTTTAAACTAATTCCAAAACTATTCACAGTTGTTGTGTCGTTGCACTTTAACTACATTTACTCAAGAAATGTAAAGCCAGCATTTTCCTCATGATTCAACATAGATAATTTTATTTACAGTAATCAGTTGCAGTTCGTGATCTTTACCTTCCACTTGACCATTTTAATGGCAATGCAAAACAATCCAAAAATTGCTACAAATCCACACACCAACCCACCCATACCATTTAGTCATACAGAAACGTTTAACATATCAAGCTTTTTTTGCAGAGTTTAGCCCTGTCAAATCCACAGTATCAGTCTCAGTACAACTTGCTGGCTTTCTCTTTAAGTACTACACTGACTTTGGCATATCTTGTTACTGTCATAGTTTCAGGGGAACAGCTGAAGCCTCTGGGGCTATTAAAGGCATATTTCAACTTGAATATGCTTGTGCTAGTGCTTAAGAGAAAACAAGAGGCAAAAACAACAAAACATGATTGAGAAACCACTTTTGGCATAGCAATAATTTTCTTACATTCCAGAAAAAATCAAGGCGCTACTGTACAAATAGCAGCAGCTACACTATCTAACTAGTATGAGTAGAGTTGGCCAGCTACTAATATTTGAGGTTAGGTTACTGATAGTCCTGGTATTGTTGCAATACAGGGTCCAGAGCAGCAGTGAATACAGTGTTAGTAATATATGTCTAACATTAACTTTTCTTCCTCTGGTGGTTATTGCCTCTGTGAAATTCACACTTTTAACATTAATGTATTAAAGTAGTATTAACTGACTTCTTTACCACCGGAAAGGCAGTAGAATAAGCTGCAACTAGATTAACACATCCTTTTTAAAGATGTTATGACAAGTGTGTTAACTAACACTGGCTGTTTTTTCATCTCATAGATGAGAGGCTATGTTAGCATTTATGTGGAGTCTGGCCACCTGCTCTGTTTCAGTCCCCACCATGTTGAGTGAACTATCTCCCTATTTAGTAGATACTATGTCAGTCTGCTGCTTGGTGCTGGAAACAGTGCATGTAGTTCAAAGAAAACAAACAAAACAAAAACAATGAGATGAATGAAGCTAAAATGTTGTGCTGACTGAGAGCAACTCCTGAGTTGGGTGGCAATTCTCTATGGTTACATTACCACGACCAATCCCTCTCACATTACACATATACATTAGTTTACATGTTAATACAGAAGCTTTCAACTAGTGCAGTTTTAAGGACTTCGGTGAGGGGATTGACAGATACTGTATATTTATCTTTGCACTATTTACATCCATTGAACTGTTAACTCATGTAACTTATCTTCCTATTCTGCGCTAACACACTATTGCATCCCATTTCGTCCCATTGCACTAGTGTTTTATAAGCTTAGTGTACTTTATCCATTATTTGTAATTTAAATCCATAAAGTCTGTTGTATATTACCTTACATAACTTACTGTAAATATCAATTCTACATGTCCATCGTCGGTAAATTAGTACTGCACTGCTGTTATTGCACTTATTGCACACTTCTGGTTAGATGCTAAACTGGATTTCGTTGCCTTGTACTTGTACATGGGTAATGACAATAAAGTTGAATCTAATCTAATCTAATCTAACGTGAATGGATCGCACTATAGCGATAAACCGAGTTCTTCGTTTACATTACAAGGCTACAAATGTGCAGATTTAGCAAGCCACAGCACCAACCTGCAGAGTAACTTTATTAAGTCTTCACATTGCTAACATAAAAACTAGTGTTAGACATAGTGTGGTTACATGTTAAGTTAACGTTACTGTTACACAATGCTAGTGAGTCAAAACCTTTTAAACTGTCGATCGAAAGCTGGCTAGCGTTAGCAGCTAACCTAGCGTGCTAAAACACCGTTAGCTCGTCAGAAATTTAACTACAATAACGCGTTAGCCATAGCCAGCTCCTGTAGCCAAATGCTAAACCCAACTTGTGTGCGACTTGTAGAAGCATATCAACAGTATTTTACCAGCTGAGTTAGCTTCGTATCAAACTTACCTTTTTTAAGTTCGTTGAACCAAACATTAACAATGGTCTTCGAGTGTTTTCTATGATGAATGAGCCACAACGACAACGTCTGCACACTTTGCTGAGAGTTGCTAAGCTCGGAGAGTTTCTTTTCTAAAGCTGCCTCAGAGAAAGCTGACATCTCGATGGGGTTGGGAGAATGCGTAACACTGGGAGAGGCCGCTTTAAGGTTTCTCCCGGGTGCGTTATCCACAATAAGTTAAGTAATCAGTACAATGATTTTAGCCATTCAAATAAATGCCATACGCAACCTTTCCTGCGCCACACACTTACTGTTTATGCTACCTAGCTATCGCCGTCGTCTCGGTGGCGCAAAAGGGTCGCGGGCTTTGCTCAGAGCAAACCACCACAACAGCCTGCAGCCTGCAAGACTAGGCAGAGGTGCTGCCGTACCGCTGTTATGTTGCGTTCATGTCTCATGGAAATTACAGTTATTACGAAAGTTCACATGGTAGCTTAGCGCTAATATATCAGATTTCGCAAGTATATTTTAAACAGGTTTTAGGTTTATCTGATTAAATATTTTAACGCAAGCTAAGGAACACTGTCTTTGCAAAAAGACAATCTGTATGTATATCGTAGCATTATTACTTTGCATTGCAATTTGTCACTGAGTGCACATTTGAGTCCTTGTCATGTGGGAGCATAAAATTCGCTGAATTTGAGTGACGTTTTGCAAATACACCGAGGCTCACATTTCTCCTGCAATCCACTTTCATCACGTTAACCATTATTACATTAAAACATTTATAATAATTCTTACTCTCTCTCTACTTCCCCTTTGTTATAATGCAAACTAGTATTTACTACTGAACTCAGTAAATATAAGGACACAAAGACAATGATTCAACCTGCTAAATGAAGAAATTTAAAGATATATGCAGAACTCCTTTATTGTGCATCATAACAATGGACATCGTGTTGTTACAGCAGCAGCAGATGCTAACTTCAACATACAATAAACATTGTGTTTTGTAGCTCTACATAGTTAAAGGGTGATGTACTGAAACCTTATCATTTACAAATCTTGCCTCTAGCAATCTAATACAACCCCAAGAGTGTAACACTTTTACTGGATTCATGTTAATGATTAAGGCTTACAAGTTAACCCTGGACTGAATGACAGTTTAAATACTATTACACTGGTCATGGTATGTCAAAATCTTCAAGTATGGTCTTCTCGCTTATGATGCATCAGAGGAGAACTACACAACTTTGCTGGTATACCATACAAAGCCAGGTTTGGTCAAAGGGTCAAGAGGTGTTCATATTGTTCAATTACATATTGTGCATTCAAAATAAATGTCATCTTCAGTGATGCAGAGAAAAACTGGTATAACATTCAAATAATTACGTGACTACAATTTAATACATCTGAAAAATTATTTTATGAAACATGTCACTCATTTAACATAAATTGTTCTTGGAGTTGAGGCACAGCTGATACATAAATGCAGTCACAGAGGCATAGTGGTCCATAAACAGAAACTGTTAGTAATTTAACAATAAACTGGGGTTTACACCATTTATAAAACACTAAAAAACAAACAGATGCTACACAAAATTTGCAGCTTCATATTGCATTTCTCACCCTCACTTGGTTTAGATGCATCCACAAGCTTGAATAAATTGCATCTTATTTTTCACTTTAAATGCTGTTATCTTCAATTCTGCTTGCATGGCTTCATCACTTTTCTATTCTCAAATAGAAAAGACACATGGCTTCATCACAAATGCAACTCTAAATAAAGCAAAAAAAAAAAAAAAAAAGCTTCTTTAAGCCATTAACACATATTTTCAAGCAAGTCAAAAATACATCTATGCCGACTTCAGCTTAATGGTCCAAAACCTGTTGCCATCTAAGCTGCTGTTGAAATGATGTCAAAATGTTGTGTGTGTGTAAGGTGCTGCAAAATATGCAGAGTTAAAATCGGGATATGCAATCATAGATGGAGCTGCTCCACCACTTCCTGAACTCATCCAACCTGACAAATCAGTGGCTCTGAAATTATAATCAGAGTGGGCTCCATGATATGCACTTTGCCCAGGAGGCATAAAAGCATTTGACTGGGACATACCCCTAGCACTACAGACTGGATAAGGAAAGAGTTGGGTTGTCTGGGATGCAGCATTGTAGTTGGGATCAGACATCACTCCATAGTCTACCTGGACGGCTTGATAGGTAGGTTGTGGCATATATCTTTGTGGAGCTGTCTGGACATGACCAATTCTGAACTCCATGTATGCTTGCAATCGCCTCTGTTCGGTCTCAAACTGTACTCTAGGATCTAGAGCAGCGTTGCCACTGTGACTAAGAGAATCTCTTATGTCAGGATGCATGTTGCTCCTAGCAGCATCAAAATCTGGCACCAGTTCACCAGATAAGCCATGATGCCCCACACTGCCTACCACATACTGACTGTGGGACTGTTGTTGAGTAGCATCTGATCTCATCTCCTTCCGTCTCTCATCGACTCCTGTGCCAACTCTACTTTGTGGTGCTGAACCATGAGGGTCCTCAGCATGACCCTTGTTAAATCCATAGGAAGAGTAATATGATGACCAGTCCCGAGTGTGGGGCACAGCAGGTGACCACCCCTCATGTGGTGTCTGTAGGCCTCGATTTGTCAACTCTATATTAAAGCTACTATTTGGCATTTCTTGAAAATCACGCAGCCTGTTATAATTACCTTCCCCATAAATCACTTGGTCTTTTGTCCCAGTTATGTCCTCAAACTGGCATTTACTGTCACAGAAATAACCATCGACCTCTTGATTCAGAGTGACTAAAAGGTTCCTTTTTGATCCCACATGTCGAGCACCTGAATCTTCACTGTAGAGGTCTTGCTGAAGTTGTGAAATTGTACAATGCTCAGTATGGCCAACTGTAAATGATTCAGCATCACAGTCCAAGTCATAGTCCTCTGTAGTGGTCTTAGCTGAGAGAATGAGATCTAGGTCGGATGAAGGCGCATATACAGGGGACACAGGGGGGCCCTTGTTGATGAACGATGTCCTCCTCATCAGCAATGGACCTTTGGTAAGAGGCAGGCTTACCTTGAACACAGTATTAGCCACTTTCTTCTTTTTCATCTTTTGTGTCCGTTTTGACAACCCTGCACCATATTTCTCCACCATGCCTTGAACTGAGGTCTTGTTCACGCTTGGCTCTTAAGAAGTGTAAATCAGACACAGAGAGGTTGAACAGCAACAAGAAATTACAAAAATATATCCTTACTGGAGAAAAAAAGGCTTTGGTCTCCTTCAAGTGAAGTGTGGCTTTCAGCAATACTCACCTTCGACAGCTATTTCCCTGTTTTGGATGTCAGTATGTGTCCATTCATTACAGAGCATCTTTATACCTATGAAAGAAGAAAAACAATACAGGGGGTATACAACCAAAAAAAAAGCACTGAAAATTACACAGGTTGAAAGAGCAAGTGTTCAAAATAGCATGTATGAAACACTGAAATGGTTGAACATGGGTAATAACAGTTAACCAGGGTAAGTCCTGCTGAGGTTTAGACTGCTTTTTTAAGGGAGCGCCTATGTTTGCAGGGGTTACTGCATGCATTATATTTTATAGCACCAGTGAAGTCTGGCAGGCATGAGGGTTTCAATCTGGAGACCTTTTAAATAAATGTACTTACATTAGAAGTCAAACCTCAAGAAAAGAGAGTTGAAGCTAAAGAAGTGAATGAATTATGGCCAAAAGAAAAAAAAACTGTACTTACACCAGTGGTAACTTTTGCCAGTGAGCAGGATACAGAGGGATTCTGGTGCATTTACCACCTGGGAACACAAGATGTTTGAAAACTGATTGAGAGACAAGTAGTCAAGACCTTCCTGGTAAAAGATGAGCAATTTTTTACCTAGATTATCCTGCATTGGCTATGCTATGATTATATAATTAAATATGATACCTTCAGCTCGCCTCTTCCCTCCTCTTTCTCCACTTTCTTGGCCAGTGATTGGAGAAATTCACAGTCATTTGTAGCATCTGTCACTGACTCCACCTGCTCAGGGTGAGCTTCCATCTACACACACATGTTTTCAGTGAACTTAAACCTTACTACTAACATGTTCTCTACAGCCTGTGGAAACATAATTGTGAAGGATCTGTCTCTTGATCATTTCAATTATTGACACATAGTAAACTGACCAAGTAGTTGACAAGATGGGAAGAGCTGGTTAGGTGACCAATGATGTCCATTTTGTTGGATCTGATGCGGCAGCAGTGGCATAAGAAACAATATGTTTGGCCATTTTCACTTCTACACTCAACCACGCGGAAAAGACCTGTTGTAAACATGTGCAAGCACTTTGAAAGTCATAGTTTAACATTATGAGAAATGGGTTTATTAGATTTTTGCCAAGAGCTAAATGAAAAGCCCGATCACATCTGTACAGTAAATATGGAACCAGCAACCACTTAGCTTTAAACAAATATTAGAAATGGCTATGTGCAACATTATTTCTTGGCCTTGAGCAGTTGCTAGGCAACCAGCAGCTGCTCTGAAAAACTGATCTGGGCCAGGATATAAGATCAACAGCTACTAGCTCCAGCAGTATGTATTTACCATACAGAACTGAGGGTGGGCGCTGAGCAAGAAACAGTATGAGTGTATTTCTAAAAATGGTGAACTATTCCTTTAAATGTTCCAATGACAATCATTAGTAAAGTACAGATGTCCAGCCCTTATTGCTACAGGTAATAGTGCAAGTAATTATTACAGTAATAAATAAGTGCAGAATTGACTTGTACAACAACCTAAATGTGCATACTTTGAAATGATGTTTAAATACAATTTTTAGCAACTATAGCACATATTGTTGCTACTCTTGATCTGTGCTCACCAATAAGAGGCTTCGCTCCTGTGTAGCCATCAAGAAAGCTTTTGCTGTTCCCTGATGGCACAGAGGGTTCGGGAGAAATCTGAGTAGTGTTTAACTGCAATGTAGAGAGATTTTTTAACCTATCCTCCGACTTATTAGGAATTATAACAGTTGACCGTAACTGAGGCGGAGGCTTGTTTATCTCTGCCAGGGTCTTATGAGATAGCACACGAGACTTGAGGGATTTCTTGGACCATTTCAGTTGGTTCTTGGGAAGCAATACAATCCTGTCTGACTGGATGGCCTGGTGCTCCAGATGCAGAGCTGTAGTCTCCTTGGGTTCACTTTGCCTCCTGTCATCTCTTAAGGAATGTATCAAAGTTAATGCTGTGATGTTGGAAAGAGAAAGACCCATATGGAGTAAAAAAAAAAAAGTGACATGTAAAAATGGAATTAATGAACAATGACAGACAGAGGGAAATGAGAAAAGCAAGGGTGGGACTGGAGGGGTAGACTTGGTAGAAATTGACAACTACTGTTCCAAAACGAGTTGTTATAGTCACTGACCGTCACTCCCACTGTGTGTTGCCATCTTCTGGTATACAGCCTCTCGAACCTCTAACAACTTCATATTAAGGTGCAAAAATATGAGTACTTAAATCCAAAACACGCATCTGCTTGTAACTGGAAACATATCCAGTAAAATAACAGTACCTGGAGCTCTCCATGCCCCTCCACTCCCTCAAGTGACTTGGCTATGTCCATCAGTGGCCTAGCCAGGTTAGACAGATCGGCATTCTCCTTCCATTCAGACACAAAGTGGGGGTGCCAGGCTTTCTGTCAGCAAACACAATACTTGTTAATAAATTACAAATCTAAAGCAGCACTCAAACTTGTTCTACAACACTACTTACAATATAGTTGTATCTGTGGAGACCTCCCGTAATGTGGTTAAATATGTCAGCTTTACTTAGTCGACACACACACACTTCACACAGGTACAATACTTCTCTGTTGTGTGCACCTGCTTTCACACATTCTATAATGCTGCCCAGGCCTGAATGCGCATAAAACAACAAATTATTTCAATACATACAGAACACACAGGCAACATACACTCAAAACAGGGATTTGTTGCTACAGACCAATGATGGGTTGCAGTCTGTTCTTCTTGTTCAGATACAGCTTCAGAGAATCAACCATCTTACTTTTGCTACAACCTCCTACAAACAGAGAAAGCATCAAACACAATGAAAGGAAAAAGGACCGCAGCTCACACGCAGAGTGAAGTCCATACCTTTGTGTGCCCCGCTCGGCTGCATGCTGCAGTTACAGAATCACCACCTGCATATAGCTGAAGTAGAGATTTAAATAATTATGAGTCATAGTACTCTTCATAGTAAAAACCAGGATCATCCAAAGAAATTGTTTTTCCTAAAAGACTTCACCAAAACATTGTCATCACAGACCTCTGACAACCATCATCACTGTACTATATAGTCTACCAACAGTCTCCTTGTAGACATTTACCTTCATATATGAATGATTTTCACATAATTTTGCTTATCCATGTCTATAAAAATCTGCAACCCTCAAAGGTTACTATATAAGGGATGTGTGTGGCCTCTTTAAAAGACAAAAGACCAGAAAGGCACCAGGCCCAGATGGCGTGACCCCCCTCCTGCCTGGAAGATCAGCTGGCCCCCCAGGTCACTGGAGCTGTGTGAAGTCCCCTCCTGCTTCAAACGCTCCACCATCATCCCAATCCCCAAGAAACCCTCCATCAGTGGACTCAAGGACTACAGACCAGTCGCCCTGACATCTGTAGTTATGAAGTCCTTTGAAAGACTGGTGTCAGCCCAGCTGAAGGACATCGTAGACCCCCTGCTGGACCCCCTGCAGTTGGCCTACCGGGCAAACAGGTCAGTGGATGATGCAGGGAACATGGAACTGCATTACATCCTGCAACACCTCAACTCCCCAGGGACCTATGCACGGGCCCTCTTTGTGGACTTCAGCTCAGCGTTCAACCCCTCTGCTGTTTTCACTCTACACCAACGACTGCATCTCGAAGGACCCCTCTGTTAACCTCCTTAAGTTTGCTGATGATACAATGGTCACTGGTCTCATCGGGGACGGTGATGAGTCAGCCAACAGACGGGAGGTTGAGCAGCTGGTCCTGTGGTGTAGCCGCAACAACCTGGAGCTGAAAACAGTGGACTTCAGGAAGAGCCCTCCCACCTTACCCCCCCTCACCATACTTGGCAGCACTGTATCAGCAGTAAAATCCTACAAGTTCCTGGGCTCCACTATCTCCCAGGACCTGAAGTGAACGTCCAACATCAGGACCATCACCAAGAAGGCACAGCAGAGGACGTACTTCCTGCGCCAGCTCAGGAAGTTCAACCTGCCCCAGGAGCTGCTGATACAGTTCTACAGAGGAATCATCTAGTCTGTTCTCTGCACCTCCATCACTGTCTGGTTTGGCTCAGCAACCAAACAGGACAAGTACAGATTTCAGTGGACAGTCAGGACTGCAGAGAAGGTCACTGGTGTGAGCCTGCCCTCCATGGAGGACCTGTACACCTCATAGGTCAAAAGTAGGGTGGAGAGGATCACTGCAGACCCCTCACACCCAGGATATAATCTTTTCGAACTCCTGCCCTCTGGCTGACGTTACAGGTCACTGTATGCTAAGACAACCAGGAAGAAGGATACTTTCTTCCCCCAGGCTGTCACTCTGATGAACACTTGACCCACGACATTATGACTGGACAATAACCCTCAGTGCAATACCTGTAAATATGCATTGTACAGAATATACAGGTCTCCATTTTTTAAGTACTCTATCTTTATTTCTGTTTATCTCATTCACAATGAGCATTAATTTGTCTGTCTGCATTGTTTACTGTCAGTTTATACCACCAATTCTGCATTGTTTGCACTGTTTGTTGCTGTTAATACTGCTTATTTTGTTATACTAGCCTTATGTTGGTTTACTGTTTACTTGCCCCTTGCATGGGGCAAGTAATACATGCACACTGAGAGCCGATGTACCAGAGTCAAATTCCTCGTGTGTCTGACACACCTGGCCAATAAAGCTGATTCTGATTCTATACATGTAATGACTTCCAAAATAATTCATATTTTAAACTAACTATAAATGATCAAACCAATTTAAAAACATGTATATGCAATATCTAATTCTACTTGTATTTTGACATAGATTCTCCTTAAATTCTGATTAAATATAGCAGACACTGAACTGTAACCACCAGATGGCGCTGCAACATCATCAAACTTCACACACAGGTCAATGGTCTCATTACATTGGTTGGTTTAACAGTTTGTAGGTGAAATAACAGTTTTTCAGTTCAGAGGTTAAAAGTGACAGTAAATACTGTTTACTGCTGGTTAACAGTAAAGTGGTTAGCACTCACTGCACAGTTAACGTGGTAACAGTTTGTTTTACCGTTTAACGCCATTTGTTTAATATTTAGAGCAAGACAGACCTGGCCAAAATGGCAACACGGAATAACCTACGGGAAAAGTAGGTTAACAGCGAGTTGCACAGGAACACGCACCATAAATTATGAAAACATAACTAGGAAGCGGTGAGAAACGGCAGCTTAAATTTGATTTTTCAAATAATAAATCCTGATGAAACATTTTGAACATGATGTTTGGGTGTTTGATATGAAGGCAGCGTTTCCAGACAAAGTGCAAAGTTAACTCTTAATCCTAACTTCTGTTATTTGTCTCTTTGCTAATTTAGGTTTAATAAAGTCTGTTGTTTAAAGGTGTTCTACAGCTATAACGCCAATGAAATAGCGATAGTAACTCACCAAACTGATTGAAAGTTCTAACGTTACTTCTCCGGTGTAGTCCAACTTTTGAGCTAAACGACCAAGATAATTCTTATGAAGTTACTGTCACAACACCCAGACTTTCTGTTGTAACTTTAACGAGCTAGATTACCATCGGAAAGGTTATGTCCGTCTCTCTGTTGCTAAGGCGGTCCACTTAAATCCTATGCTGAAATATGGTAAAGAAGATCCACTCATTGCGTGAGTAGTTTATAACAAAGCATCACCACTTCCCTTCCGTTTTGCAAAGAGCGAAGGAATGGCGCAGCAAGATCCTCCGACCAATCAGATCATCGGGTTAGAGCGGACGTGTGGGAGGGGCTAGTATTGCTATCTTTGTGAGGACCAATTTCAGATAGAAACAATTGTAAGGATGACATTTAAGCTTTGTGCGGACATTTTGGTTGGTACTTCGAAGGTTTACTGTTATGATTAGAGATAGGATTAAGGATAGGGTTAAGTATTTACAGCGGTGGAAGGTAGGCTAACTAAGGACATTTACTTAACTACTGCACTTATACAATGCTGAGGTATTTGTACCTGAGTATTTGCATTTTCTGCTACTTCATACTTTGACTTCAGCACATTTTAGAGGCAAATGCTGCACTCTCTACATATTTTAAATACAAGACTTAATTGGTCCTTAGTGGGACATTCACAGGCTACCCAGCATTATGTAAAGTACTTCAAATTTTAATAATAAGATTTCAATTATGAATGTCAAAACAGTACATAAGGTAGTTAAAATAGTTCCTTCTTTACTAGTTTCCTTAATAAAGTGAACACACTAGTGCATCAATAAATATAATTCAAGTACATTCATGTGAAATGTTCTGCAAAATGAATACTATTATGTTTGGTATTTTAAGTAGGCTATATATTGTTGTGGCAAAACTATCTATTAAAGCTCAGTGAGTGTAAAATAAAGACTTAACATCAACTCTGAAAGTTATTATGCATTTATTCCATCTGGAAGGAGCGGTCCCTGACAGAGTACCTAAGCAGTCTGAGGGAGAAGCTCTCAGAACAGAATGTCACTTGTCTTCTTATACGCATGCATATAATTACAGGAAACAAATGGTCAGACAGACGGGCAACAAGATACCAGTTACAGCAGGACACTAGCCGTCTGGTTTAGCAGACACAAAGGCATGCAAATCTCTCAGTAAACAGTCTGGTGTCACAATCACATGGATGACTACAAAGCAACAACTAATACAAAGGGTGTTTACCACTACAGGGGTTGTTTATCAGCTGCCTTTTGCAACATCAAAAGGACAGCAAGACCTTGACACTCAGTGGGGCCACCAGGTCCCTGGTGCCACACTCCCTGTTCCTCCTCACACAAGACACATTTATAGGTGCTGGACGTAAATTCTGCGTGGAATGCTCAAACTATGCAAGTTGAACTGATAACCTTGCACTAAATCTATTAAAGCTGACTGATAAACGGTGCACAAATTGGTTGCAGGTTCTGAGACCATTACAATTATGAGCTTCACATTGTAGGTGTAAGGAAAAAAAAACAAACATCAATTTTAGAATGAAGTGACCTCTTAACATGCATTAAATTCAGAGTGAAATGACCTTTTGACATACACTAACTTCAGAGTGAAGTGACCCTCTCAACATACATCAAGTTCAGGGTGAAGTGACCCTTTTACCTTACATATAGTTCAGAGTGAAGTAACCTTTCAACATGATTACATACCAGCATCTGCTATGCTGGCATCCACAGTGTAGAGACAAATAGATGGGAGTGGTCATTTAGGTGTTACTAGGCTATTTTGGGTATTCCCTTTGGAATATTCTGCAGTAATGGCCAAGACCGTTCAGGGTCATTTGACCAAAGGAAAGGTAGGATGAAATCTACCTTCTCAGATTTATATTTCTAATAACTTGAGTAAACATCCATTCAAATCCTGTACAACTACTGTCTGACTTGTACTGTGGAAAGTTTTGTTGAATGAAGTTTCACAAATGGAAAAACTGTCTTTTTGTTTTTTATTAAACACTTGCAAGTCTTAGTACCACAGAGATCAGAGTCTCCACAGGCAACGAGCAAAAAACAAGTCACACTCATGCTTAAACTCTCGTGGTAATGGCTGCTGAGATGACCTCATCTCATCCTATTTGTCAGACAGTGCTCTCTCTGACTGCACCTTCAGCTTCCTCTATCAGGACCTTCTTTCCTTACACACATTGAGCAGTTATTTACAGTATGTATTTTCCATTAATCAAAATGTTAGTCAAGAACTAATCAAAGGGTCATACAAGTACTAATGTATTTTGCAACCTACTGTATAATGAGAATTGCACTGGATTTTGCCAGATGTTGTAAATATTATGTCACACACAGTGCATTTTGTAAGAATGCACTGTCTGGAACACACTAGGTCATCCTGACCTGGCTGTTCTGTTGTGCTGACCAATTGCGCATAGAGTTTGTGATGGAAATTTTAAAGTGAGTCTGGAGAAATAAAGAGTGAACAACCAAGTTGCCTTTGTGTATTTTATTTTTTGCAAGAAGGCACAAACAATAACAGAGTGTTATGTGGTCTGTCAAAGAAGCTCAAAGCTCAGTGTGTCTCACTACCTACTTATACACACACACCAAACTAAAAGGGGGAGTAAGTCATTGAATGGGACGCTCTGTGGTTATACCTGGATGGGCTGGCAGTTAAAATCTGGTTAAGCCTGGTTTCACACACTTTTAGCGCTTTTGTGAGGGCATCATCTTCTATCATATCTCATGACCCTGCGAGTGTCCTCAACCTGTAGCACATATCTCTGAAGATGTCCTCCAAGCGTTGCACAGACAAGTCACCGAAGCACATCCTAACGCAGCGTCCCGGGGCCCTTGGCTCCAAACATAATTTTGTTTTATGTATCACAGTGTTACAAAGACAATAAATGCATTCTTCTTCTTAAAAAAATCCATAAGATATTGTGCAAAAGAACAAAAAATAAACAGAAAACCAGACAGCACCCACTCTGCACACAGTTTTCTCTTTATGCAAACTGACCAGTATGGATTACAATATCTCCTTATTTAATGCAGATCCCTTGTTCCCCCATCCAAGATTTATGACAGTTTCCATGGCTTTGCTTGTTTCCTGTCTTTTGAACTGCAGTAGTCTGCATGGCTGGACCCTGTGGACTTCAAAGACCTACAGGGAGAATTAAAGCCAACCTCATCCCCCACTACTTACAGAACTGACTTGTCAAATTTTGTGCATTATACCAAAAGCAAGCAGAGTTTAGTAGTGTAAGACTCTTTGGTTCTTGTTACCATTGCTAACTCTGAGAGACGAGGCAGTCCAAGTAACTTCAAAACAGTGCTGATTTATTCAAAGGATCACAGGTAAAATTAACATTACACGCTCAGGTATCTTGCACCTTCAACATGCTCGCAGGCAGATGTAAGATGAAAGCCCCTGAACCCACCAGGCCTATACATTATATCCCCTCGGTTGGGCTAGCCCCATACTACACAGAAATGTCAACCGAGACGTCTCTGTTACCAGCTCTGCAGCTGGCCATAGCAGTAGTCAAAACATGAAGCAAATCAATGTGTGTGTGTGTCTGTTGATTAAGTGGTGTGTAGCTAAAAACATTCTCACGACCTCTAGTAACATGTCGTGACTTAAACATAAGAACATATTATGGCTAAGGCTACAGTTATACATGTTGTAATAATAATATTAAACACCCTGTCTGCTGACAGTCATCAACTCTTCTCTCTAGTTATCCTTGACCAGATGTACCCTGTAGAAACTCATAAGCATGACTCAGCATTTAACAGTCTAACTAGACATCCTATCTCCACTAAACATTTCTAATACATAAAGTATCTATCCAATAACTATCTGACTAAAAATATCTAACAGTAGAGTCAAGTTGAGTTGAACTGGTACCAGGCAGTACAGGCCTTGCTTCAGCATTGTATGAATGAGTTGTTAGAGGTATGCTCTTTATCTATAAAGATGAACAATTTCATCAGTTCATCTGAGAATTGCTCAGTTGTTGTTTGCCAGATAAGAGCTTAAGAGATTGAATCCTGTCTTGATAGTGGTCTGTGCTTTGTTGATTTCAGTTTTATACTTAAATGTTGCATATTCCAAAATTATATATAATCCAGTTACCACAAAACAACTCTGAGGCAAAAACCTTAGTAAAACAAATTAGCTACCAACTGCAAACATTGTTCTCTCTGTTTTGTATGCACAGTTTGCATTTATGCTATGTAATCTTTGTCAAGGAAATAAAGACCTGGCTGAGGATAAGAGCCCCCAGGTTTTACCCATTGAGCATTGTGTATGGTTAGAGACACGCAGGAGGGCTGATGCGACTGCTTAGCGCTCTGTGAGGAGCACAGCAGAGTTGTTACTGTATATTGTTTGTAACAGAGGAAATACATAACAGTGCATTGTTTGGATATTGATAGAAATAATATGCTAGAGTCATGTTTTAGATAAGAAAAGGTAAAACTAATTTTTAATCGTGGTTCAAACATTTCTTGCAGTTTTGTTATGTTCAGGACATTCTTGGGTGAAACTGTTAAGAACTTTTTATAAGAAGGTAGAGATCACTCTTGAATAAATTCAAGTTTTGCTGAGCTGTGTTAAACAAAATTTTATTCCATGGTTATTGTCGTCACTGTACAGTGATTACATGACATTTTAGGACCTCAGTGTTTTGTGCCTTGGCTTGATCAACACTGTACTGGCTCAAGGACACAAACTGCGGCAATGTCCTTATCTGCGGAGCGGTGCCAAATTGCATATTTGGTCTTCTCGCGGTTGTGTAGGCTTTGAGGCTGAAACAGATTTCTTAAAGCACTTCAAGCAGTTCACACATTTATGTTCACAGAATGTCAAGGCACACATACAGCAAGTCATCATTTACATACATGTAGTGCTTTTGTTTGAGCTACAGGAGATGATATGGTCTCTTCTTATCAACTGCTCTAAAAAAAAATCCCTACAAATACCACATATGGAGGAGGACAGTCACAGTCTGAAAGTCTGACCTTGAAACAAGGCAGAGCCCTGGTATGCATCCCCCCTTCCACTCCTCTCACGAACTGTGTGCCTCTCTCCCCCTATAACAGGAAGCCAAGTGTCCAAGAAATATCCTCAACTAAGAACAAGGAGTATTAATCAGTAATAAAATCTTAGCAAAGGTGAACAGAGAGGCACCAAATTTATTTTTTAAATTTATTTATTAAATGATTCACAATTAAAACTTCTAATTATTTCTTCCACAAAATCATTTGAGTCCTGAAACATGTTGGTTGATTGCATCTCTATACCCATGGAATATGATTACACTCCATCCATTCATTAGCTCTTAATAAACGGTGGTGGAAGAAGTACTCAGATTGTTTACTGAATTAAAAGTAGCAATACCATAGTATAAAAATACTATTTTAAGTACAAGTCCTACATTTAAAATGTTACTTAAAAAGTACACAAGTATTTAGCATTAAGTACCCAAAGCAAAAGTACTCATTATGCACAGTGGCACATTTCATATTAATGCATATCATAGTTATTATTATTGATGCATTATTCTACTTATCACATTTAATGTTGTAGCTGCAGTGGAAGTAATTTTAGCTACATTATAATTTGATTCATGCTGGGTAGCTTGTAAATTTCCCATGATGGTCAATAAAGTCTTATGATTATACTGTATTTTGTTTTATTCATCTGATTCTGAGGTAACTAGTAACTAAAGTTATCAAATACATTTATTGGAGTAAAAAGTACAATAATTGCCTCTAAAATGTAGCAAAGTCAAAGCAGAAAGTGAAAATAAACACAGGACACCTACTGCACCTCAGAGAGGGAGATAGAAAAGAACATTTAATGTTATTGTTCAGTGTTTTTAAGATGTCATCCTGTGACAGGTTAATGTGTTTGTGTGTTGGACATGTTTTCATTACAGTGATATGTCGCCTGTTACTTTTTATCACCTTAATGGGGTTTTAACATGTTTATGTCTGGAGGTGCCATTAATCTAAGACATGGTCCAGAAGATATTGTTAACCTATTATCAGTGTCAGTCATCATGTGACCTGCAGCTGTTATGCCACTTGCATGTTTATTAAACTTATTTCTTATATTTTTTATAGCTTCTGAAGGGGTGAACAAGGCTGACCTTGCTAGGTACAAATACAATGGGGTCTACTGCGCTGGAGGTCAAAGAAAGAAAGGTGGGATAGAGCGTGCATAGAGCAGGAGACGTGTGTAGAGTATAAAAGATGCTGCAGGAGCTCTGTGGACTGTTCTGCTTCACAAACCAAAAACTGAGATAATGCCTTTTGCGACCTTTTTGCAATAAATCTTAGATTAGATTTAGATTGTATAGAGGACACCGAATCTACATCTTAATGTTTGTTTGACACTTCAGCTCTCCTAACCAGAGACTCAGCCTGTCCTCCCTCTCATTACAGCATTGGCTTATTTCCTGCCTTCACCTGCTTTGAGGTTCTACTACTGTTACAGTCCAAACAAACAAACAAAAAAAAAAGATGACTTGCAGACATGTGTCAGTGGTGGCTAGGCTCAGAAGGCCAGGGCTTGTGTTTCTACATACATCTTAAATGTTGACAGGAACAGAAAATGTCTGAGTAATGTACGCAACATACATGTAAATGTTTAGGACAATTATGACTCCTAAAAATCTGTGGACTTCAGCTATTTTGCTATACGTATAATAAAAGTGGTACATGTGACTGAGAATGTTGTGATAGAAGAGTGCTAAATAAAATATTCTTGTACAATAGCTAAGCAGTCTTAGAAATTAAAGACAAAGGCAGAAAGTAAAACGACAAAGAAATCTAAGAAAAATGTTTAGTGAGAGCAGCTGTGATAACCTTTTGTATCCTACTCTTACACGTCCAGGGCACACTGCAAACAGTTTAAAGAATAAGATTCACTTTACTTTCATAGTAATGTGTACAAAGAATTAAACACAACAAATTTCACAATCAGAAGATCTCCAATGTTAGGCAATTTTTATTAAAATGAACAAAATAATAAAAATTGGTACAAAAGTCACTTGAAAACGTTATATAAAAAGCTGAAACGAGTCAACGGTGCTCAACATCCTTTTTGTTCAAAGAGGTTTACAACTCATTATTTAAAGCAACCCCCCACCCCCCAGACCTCACCCCAAAAAGTCTTTTTGCACATGTCTTGGATATGATTTCACTGTTGGTTGTAGGAGAGCAGTGAAAAACTGGCAGGTGTGATGTAAGGGCTGCATAGTCTTATGCTGCTGCTGTTCTGTGTCGGGGCCATACTGTTGCTGCTGTAACCATTCAGGCCATAATTGTTGGCTGGGGAGGTGAATGAAACAGCAGATAAGTAGGGAGCTACATTCAGCATATTGGAGTCTCCAGCAGGCAGAGCAGCACTTCTCAATGAGGAGTACTGCTGTTGCTGTTGCTGTTGCTGCATCACCGGCTGTTGATGCTGCACTTGTGCACACACCAATCTAGGGACTGGCGGAGTTCCTAAAGAGTATCCAAATGATGGCACACTGAGCTCGAGTGCTTTCTGCTCTGGGCAAATCTGGTTTGAGTGGAGCCCCCTTGTTCCATATAAACTCCCAGGGTAAGCAGGAGGGTTGTCTGTTGGTATATAACTTGCAACAGCTGGGGGACCTGAAAATCCATGTGTGACATAAGACATTTGACTGTACTGGCCATACCCTCCCCTAGCTGCCAGAGTGTCAATAGGGTTTGCTGCTCCAACTGCAGGGAGAAAGTGAGAGACCTGATCGTCTCTAGTCGGGCAAGTGTTATCCTGTACTTTACAGCCACCCATAAGCTTCTTTGTAGTGAAGTCTGGCCTGGGAGTTATGATGGGTTTAATGGGCAGCTGACAAACTGCAGCGCTGTCACTACCTTCTGGCTGTGGTACCTGACCTGGTATATTGTTGTTGGCTGCGTAAGAGATGGGACTAGCTTTTAACTTGTTCATATTTGCAAGCACGCCCTGAGTATCGACACCTCTCTGGTGCTGTAGGTCACTGGGGTCAGCAGTGCTGGCAGGAGGTAATGTGTTTCCCACTGCCTTGGCTTCAGTTGCTTTGAACAAAATGTTGCCCTTCAAAGAAAAGTCCTCCACAGATGAGTTGGTAGCAGAAAGATCGGAGTTGGAATTAGGGGTGGTGTGTTGGTTCTTAAAGACCACAGGAGGTGCTACAGAAACCATTTCTTCCAGTGATTTAGTGGGTGGTCGATTTTGTTTCACTATAGCTTTGAGCAGTGGACACTCTGAATTTCCATTTTCCATTTCAGTCTTCACACACAGTGAATCCCATCTCTGGTCTACACCATTTTCAGATGACTTGTTAGCAGAGGTGGTAGAAGTTTCGATGTTATTTTTCACTTCTTTCACCAGATCTATTAGTCCTAACAACATGGGGTTGTCAAATCCCTGACCTGTGTTGTTGTCCTCAGGAGGCAGGAGGCGAGACGTCACTGTGGGGTAAACAAAAGTGAACTCCGAGGCCGACACAGGGCTGGGCTGACTGACAGGCTGCGGTGAGCTGCGTGCACATTTGGCGAGAGGAGGACTGAGTTGGGGGTTACCGGTGCAAGATTTGACCTGCGTTTTGACAGATGTAACAGTTGGCCTTTTCCTGGTTGGAAGCAATTTGTCAATGTAGTCAGTGGGAGACACTGACGGGGTCTGAGTGGTTTTAGGGCTAGCAGTAGAGGAAGCTGGGGATTTTGAATGTACCTCTGCTTGTTTCACTTGCAACTTGGGAATCAGGCTTTGGCACTGAGAGACTGCTGGTCTAAGTTGTGTTTGCATAGAAAGACTCCCAGAGGTCCCTCTGGGACTGAGACATGTGCCAGCATCAGGGAACAGAGAAACAACAGAATCAGCCTTTGAGGAGACACCGTTCATATCCATAGGACTTGAGACTCTTCTACGTTTGACTCCATCCAAACCTCCTACCATCACAGTCTCTTCAGGATGACGTTTTTCTGTTTTTTTGCTTACTTCTGAGAGAAACAGGGTAGGTCAAATGAGAGAAAGAGAGGGTAAAAAAACTTTAGTTTATTGTAGCTAATAGAAAGAAAATAAGTGCCATTTTTGAGTCGGACGGACAGTGAACTGGCAGGACTCACCTCTTTGTTGTGGCGTACTGATGGGTGGCAAGTTGACCTGCAGTCTTCCTTCCTTTATGTGTTTTACCACTGCTAAAGCTACAAAAAACAATCAGCACAGTTGATAGTAAATACTGTATACTTCAATACACCAGAAACTTGTAAGAATTGCAAATTAAACTTACTGCTACCTTGACTGAATGGAGCTTTCCAAATATATTCATATTGCTCAGGTTGCAGCATTACACGCTTTGTGAGAGAAAACAAAACCAATGTAACAATTAACATTATGGATGTGTGTTTAAACACAAGTTCATGTATAAATAAACCATAATTGTAAATTCATAAGCTTATTTTCCACCATAAGTGATACAGTTTCTTTGTGCTAATCAAAGACAACAAATATGTTTAAATAAATGATTAACATATTTTACCCAAATCACCCCAGAGGGCCATGTAGGATATCTAAAGTGACACATGGACCTAACAAGATACCTGCACATCCACTTTGTTTAAAGGCTCCCGCTTTGAGTACATCTGGGTAACCACGAGTAAAATTTCGTGTTTGGTCTGTTCGGACACTTGCTCCTGCCAGAATTCCACGAGCTCAGGATTTCGTATCTCCTAAGTAACAGACACAACGTATAGTTAAAAATATAGGAATAAATGTTACATTATATTTATCATTTAGAGGTTTTCAATGCATTACTGAACCACCACTCACCAAGTAAATGAGCCGGTGATAAGAACTGATCATATGTTTATCAAAGTCTTTTATGGGAAGTTTCTCCTTGCAGCACTCACACAAGTAGAATGGTGTGGATGCAGATGAACTTCGACACTCCCACACAGAGCCCAGACCTATTAAGGACACATATTTAACAATGTGTGCTTTTGTGATTTGACATGAAATAACTGGAGCTAAAAGGGATTGCTGATGCATGGATGGACACACCCACCTATGACTGGTTTAGGGTCTGTCCATGAGAAATGGGACAAATCACGTGTGCCCTGCAGGATTTCCCCTGCTAACACCAATACAAAATAACACATCAGTACATTACATGACAAAAGCCACTGACTGGTGCAGTGTAAATGCATAACACTTACTTAGTGAATGTCTTGGAAGCGCTTGTGATGCACTGTGCTGCCTGTGTCCCGACCTGCATCCTGAGGGTTGCAGACTGGGTTCTGAATTGTGCCGTCTCGATTGGTGCTGCTGTTCTGTATTCAGCAATGCTGCAGAGAAGAGTGGTTCTGGGCTGAAGGATGTTACAGGTGATGTTTTCTCTGTGTTCTGCAACTCTGGATCACTTTTCTCTTGTTGTCTGTTCTCAAGAGTCTCTTGCCATGTAGCAGGGTTCTGGACCAAGGTGCCAGTAGATTCCGACTTAGTGGACTCACGATCTAAAAAAGTCAGACCCAGAAAAATATCTCAACCACATTGACAATAAGTCCCCAAAACAACAGTATTCATTTAGGAATGTGAGTGCAAAATTGTAAGTTCAAATGTATTTGTATGTAGATGAAAAATACAAATGCATTTCAAACTTGATGCTCAGAAATGATGCTTGAATTTACCATCTAATGGGCCTGAAATGTCACTGGTGATAGCCTGCCCGGAGTATCTTGGCAGTTCTTTTATTATTTTTAAAGCTGAGAGTAAAGAGAAGAAAATAAAATCAAAACAATGTCTGGACATACAGTATATAATGTCAGTTTTAAAAAGTCTCCACTGTGTGTAATTTTCCTAAAAGCTGATCATTTCCTATCATACTATGTTTTATTAAATACAGTTGTTTTTTTTTTTAAATTGGGCAATTATGTAAGCATGCACATGTTTACACAAACTGAAGTGTAGCCATTTCCCTATTAACAACTAATGTCTAGGTGACCTGAGCCAAAATATAATGAAACATCAAATAGCTCAAATAGTTATAATTCATCAATAAGGACAAGCAGAGAAGTGTGTTCAGATGATGAGACACTTAAACATCAATGTTTTAAACACCGCAGTTTAAAAAAAGTCAATTTTCTTTGATGCAGCCGTGTCCATGTATGTTTATACAGGGAAGAGTCCAGGGATGTTACTACACAATGAAGTAGTGGTGTATGGGCATATGTTAGTCCTGGTCCAGAGTTGTATACACAAATCAGCCATTACACAAAAACTCTGCCATGGAGCTTCTTTGACAAGTTGGTTTGCCATTCCTGTTTGAGATTCTTTAATTTACCCCTTCTTGACTGTCACTATGATAATGCACCATTTTCTTACCAACAAACTATGGCTAGAATTCCAAAACCTCATTCTGCTAGGAAACAATTTGTCTGTTCCATTTATAAATGTTTTTTTGTTTTTGTTTTTTACATTGGAACAATGTCTTTTCAGTTTACAAATATACTGCAATTCAGCTTTACAGTGCATTTAGTATTTAAAAAGCTCAAGCTATTATAGCTTTCATTCTGATATAGGAATATATACTGTAGACTGAATTAAAAATCTACTTAGTATCATTCTTTTGCCTGAAA